TACGGGGGGGTGGGGGGAAGCTACACACAAACCAAACAGCAGTTTATGTTGCCAGACAGAGCCAGATGCCCACCATGCTCTGCACCTCCAAACGCCCTGCAGAGCCAGAGCAGATCCGTGTCACCAGGGCAGCAGCCAGCCTGGCTCTCCAGAAACTAATTCAGAGCCACCACGCGCTATCTACCAGACTCGTAACAGCACTAAGTGGTTCCCGGGCACCCAGAGCTGTGATCTCAGAGACGTCATCTGAGCGCTATCAGATCCAGAGGCGTCCCCGAGACACCAGATCACAAGCAAGCAGTGCAGCCGTGGGAGGGGGGAACGTTGCCGCTCCCCTGGCAGCAGGGCTGCGGAGCACGACCTGCACGTGGGGAGCGCCACGCGGGGACGATTACTCAGATCTGGTTTTGAGAATTGGTGTGCAGTTCCCTCTCTTGGCTGGAAGCTTTTAAGATGTAACGCTCCCAGCCTTCATCCAGGGGGAGGGCTGGATATGTGCTTTTCTTCCGGGAAATTCCCAAACCAGCACTTGGGCTACCAGGAACACACCAACCATTTTGGGACACGAAATCCCAGCTGCAGAAATTGCAGCCCCTGCTCCGAGGATACACCCAGGGCTGCTCTTGGGACCAGAGCGATGCAGCCCCACGAAGACTCCAACTGACTCGAGTTCACGCTGCTGCCAGTTCCAATTAGCAACGGCACGGTGCTTTTACACAGGCTCTTTGCAGCAGCCTGCCCGTGCCAGAGCCAGCCAGCCCACCAGCCAAAGCCCCGGCTGCCGACCAGCCCTTTATTTGCTACTCAGCACCCTGCCCTGCACCCGCCCAGCCCTGCCTCACTCCCCAGCTCTGTGCTTTTCCCTTCAGCCTGTCGTCTGGAAACGTATCAAATGCCTTTGGTAAGCTGAACACGCTCCTGCTAAATGCCTCTTATCCAGCCCCACAGGGGTATCTCCGCTGAGCTGTGGCTAGTTTGTTCAGCACAGCAGCTGACTCCTGAACCAGCCACCCCCCGAAGCTGGCACTGCCAGGGGTCTCCCCCAGCCTTGCCCCTGGCTCGCTCCTGCCAGCAGCCTGCAGTCCCTGCAAATAGGAACTCTTGTTATAGTTTCCAGGTTTGGGCGTTGGCTCTGGAGCTTAGATTTTCCATCTTCCCAAATCCAAAGAGCTTTTAGTTGAAGCCTTTGGAAAAAGATCTGACTATTTCCATCCTCAGGCCCTCCCCTGAGCTCATGAACGCAGCTATTGCTCAGTGGATGCACTGTCTGCTCTCGGTGCACAGGGGCCCCTTTGTTCAGGGACCAGAAGCCAAGGCAGAAGGGATGGACGAGGCCACGGGCTCCAGGAATGCACCCTTCCCTGCCTGGCACAGCGGTTATTTGACCTGCTGCCCCAAGCAATTCCCCCTGCATGCAGGGGGTACCTGTGCAGAGTCCATTCCCAGTGGGCTTTCCTTTGGAAGGCAGATTTTACAGATTTTTTAGCTCAGAGCATGTGTGTGAATTACACAACTGATTCATTACTGCTTTTGAGGTCAAGTAAGAGCACTGGCCTGCTACAAAGAGGAGACATTAAATATGTCTTACTGGATGCTGAGAGGCCTCTGTAGAAAAAACCCACAGGTGTCTGATGCTTAAAAGGTTTTTAAATATCCTGACAAAGAAAAGATTCTGCTTGTGAGCACAGCCCTTGTTTGTTCGCATCCAGCTGTGGCTGATACTACCCGTTCCTTGTGTTTGCCAACTAACTCCCGCTCCAGCAGCTCCTGCATCCAACACGCAGCAGACTGGAGCTGCTCTTCGGTCCAGGCACCTTGGCTTCAAGTTACAGACACCATCTCACTAACCCCTGTCCCACGGTCAGGTCCTTGCCATGCAAATAGACAAGAGACCTTACTCCTGGTCCGAGACTTCCAAGTGGCTTCCATACAATCCCTCATGCCCGTTTCTCACAGAGAACATCCCCCAGGAGCTGTAGTTTCTAAGCATGATGAATGCAGCAGTCATGCTGGCTCCCTTCCCATTGCTTCACCCCTGCAGACTAGAAAGATGTCCCGTTGGATCTCACTGATCGTAGCCAGGTGTGCACCAGGTTTTCCTCTGGCTGTGGATTCCACAGGCATCACACACCTTATCTGGCTTCTTTAAGCACGCTCTATAGCACACTCTCCCCCTTCAAATCAGCATCATTACTGCCTCCCCTACATTATCAGCTTCTCAAGTTTTACAGTACAAGGCCATAAAATTCCACTTTTCAGAGTTATTTATCATCCCTGACTCACCGCTGATGTTTGTTCCACAGTTTCCCCCTCTGCTTTGCTATTTACATGTTGCAGGACTGGTCAGTCACCCAGGCACCATTCACACAGACTTTAAAAGCAGGCAAACCACATGCTTTGTGGAGCAAGGGGAGGACAAGGGTGTCCCAGCAGCCACACCACCCCATCAGTGGCGAGGGCTGGGACACACCAAGTTGCAAGGAGCTGAATCTGTTCCAGCAGCACCTCTGAGCCTGCCTTCCCATGCCCAGGCAGTCTCCCACGGTCCCCACGCCAGCCTGCTGATGAACAGCTTGCAGCCTGGGAACTGAGCCCAACTGCCCGAGAGCACGGGCTCACCACCTCCCGCAGCAGAGAGACCCTGGGGCCCTCCCGACCCCACCACCCAAAGCACTCTAATGGCAATCACATACACATGCAGCAGGCATAGATACATATAAGGGGACCACAGTTTCCTATTAAGTCTTCTCTTCAGGAAGGCTAGAAGATGAGACAGCCATAACTGGCTAAAGATTCTCATTAAAGTCTCAAATCCAGCTTCTGTAGCACACAAGTTACTTTGCTCTTTCCCCGCTCTGGTCAACATCACATGGGCAGACAAAGATTACAGCAGCAAAGAGATCAGAACTGTTTCACAGAGAGGTGGCATCGTGGCTTTCAGTGCTGAGTGGTTATATGATGCTTTGCGCCGCACTGAAGGCAGAGGCAAGTTCAGCCAGTCCAAGATCAGCATGTTCCTCTGCCAGTGGAAGCATGCCTCAAACAGCTGGCACAGGAATAGGACTGAGGAGTTTAGTATCTTTCCTGGACGTAAAGGCCAACTGACCACGAAAGCAGTTGTAAGAAAAGCAGCTGGCTCTGCAAGTTTTGCTAGATTTGTAACTGCACCTTTGGTTTGCCAAGCTAGACCGTAAGAGCTTGAGTAAAATCACAGCTATTCTCCTGCGGAGAGTCTCCAAGAGAGGGAGGAGATGGAAAGAAAAGTGGAGCATCTTCAGGAACAAACCCTTACCTACATTAAGACAGACACTGCAAGGTAGAAGCTTACTTCAGGTCTCACTTCAGTGGCTGACCAAAGAGCTGGAGAGTACCAGGAAACGCAACAGAACTATCTCTGGCTAAAAATAGGCCCAGCTAATTAACAAAACCTTGTTAAAAGGGACACCCAGCAGCAAGTATAACCTCTTCTTTCTTTACAAAGGGATGATCAATATTGACTGTTTCAATAGCAGCAGCAAATCCTCAAGATCACTTCAACGTGAGCAACTGCTTAGCTGCCGAGACTTGAAGAAACTCTGAACCCTATCCTGGGTTTATCACTGTGCAGTGTTAGAGAGCTCTGCCTTTCTTAACCACTGTAATAAATTCATATCAATTTCTCAAGTTTAATAAATAGATCCTAAAAGCTTTGTCTGGATCTGCTTTTTCCATTCAATTAATATAACACAATACCAGAGCCATGAATTATTGACGAGAAATACAAGCCTGAGCTTTCACAAACACGCTCTACTCCACTAGCAATTTATTACAAATTAATAGCATGCTGCAGGAGGAACTGCAGCACGAGAACTGGCAATCAGCTGCACTGTCAAGCTACACCAGCCACGAAAACTTCAGAGCTGCCATAAACCACTACAATCCCGAGCACAAATAAGCTGGGGGTGGGAGGGGGGGAGCAGAAGGAGTGATGGACAACCGACAGAAAAACAGAAGTCATTTCTACTTTCAGGGTTTCCTACTCATGAAAAAACATGGTTTGTATGGGAATAATCGGTCTTTTCACATCTTTGCTTGTATCGGGGTTCAAAAGCATGCTCAGCGCGCAGGGCTGACAACACGGTGTGTGTTCGTTGCTGCAGGAAAGCAACGATGAAGTTTAAGATAAGCATTGCTGTGAACAGAATAAATTAAAGGGCAAGTATGAGAACTCAGATTTGCACATTTAAAATGACATCTGCTCAGCAGGAAGCATCCCGTATTTTTCACATCCTGCCCCACAATGACCCTCTAACACTCATATTAGAGATGAATCCCAAATTGAAAAATCCAACATCTTTTCTTCAGCAATGAACCAGCCAGAAAGATACTTCGCATTTCACCAAGCTATTGCTCTGGAAATACTCGTCACACGCCCATCAAGAGCAACACGGGGATTGCCACAGGCCTGTTTTGGGGGCCTGTTTAAAGGTGACCTACCAGTCAGTGAGTTCAAAGCTCTTGTTTAATGTGCTTCTTGCTACAAAACATCTGAGCATCTTGATCCTCCCAATAGCTGGAGTGAAGGCAAACGCATTAGTGCCCAGCATTCGGAAGATGTTAGGCGCTGCAGCAGACAGACATCTCCAGCAGCATGCCAGCCAAGAGTCGCTCCGCTGTCAGAGCAGCACACCTCCCACAAAACCAGAAGGGAGGGGAGAGCAGACACCAAACCAGAAGGAATTTTCCCTCGATGGCTGTTCCGTTTCCAATGTACGTTTAGGAATGAACTTTCCTGATAAACAGGAAAACGTGCAACCACCACCACAGCTGCTGGACCACCTTTTTCAACTCTATTATGCAAGGCACCCAGCCTCTCCCCCCTGCTCTCCAACACAGAGCAGTGACTTTCAGAAAACCAAACCCAGCTCGTTCACACCAAGCGACTTCTCAGCTCACTTCACCACTGTGGCATTAAATTCGGTGTCTCCCTGTCCTCCCTTGCAGCACAGCAGCAAACTCACCTCCATTTTTGATAGCTCTGATCCCCCGATGGAAATCTTCGAAGCTGATGACTCCAAGTCCACTTGGATCGAGGTACTTTGTTAGGTCCTTTACCTGCAACCACAAAAGCAGTATTACCCACAGAGCCCTTCCATCAGAGCATCTTCCATCAGAGAAGCACCTTGTAACAAATTTTTCCTCCTTACAAGAAAAACATTTGAGTTAATGACAGTGAATTTCTTAAACTGACACCAAACTGTGGCCATTCTCCTTGAAGGGAACCTAAGTAATCAGTACAGAGGGGTTAATTAGTACTTGGCTGGTGTTGAAACTATTGCTTAGACTTGAAACATAGGTTAGGACAGCGTTTCTTGCAATGTGGTCCTTCTCTGCCAGGGATTTATTTATTTTTATGGTTTTTTAAAGAGGTCCTATCTTAACCGGGAAAACTCAGTAATAGGCTACCCAGTAGGAGGGCCCAATTAACAGGATTCAGTGATAATGAACTGCTCCATGTTACAAATTTAGGCCACATAATTGAAACATTTTCACAATTAGACAATGCCCAAGGGGGGAAGGAATCACGTCAGCTAGTGAGGATTAGGATGTGGGTGCCGGAGCAGGCACGCACGTGGAGCAAGGGACGCTTGCGAGACCTGCTGAGGACGATCTGGGCACTTCAAGCAGAACAGGCTACAGTGAAGGCAAAACTAAAGTCATTCCTCATGGTCCAAACAAAGCCTTTGAAAAGGTGCATTTGGTTCCTTCCTTCCAAGGCCACCACAAGCCACCACATCAAAAAATCCTTTACACCACAGATGCTTCTCAAGCTAAGACAATCGGGCATTTTTTCTGCTTTAAAAAAAAAAAAAATGCAGACCCCCATTTTAAGAAGTATTGAGGCCCCTTTGTCTGTTTTAGAGCCACATCCTTCAGCTGAGAAACAAACCCAGGAGAAAGCAAGGTGTGAGAGGTGAAAGAAGGAACTGCACAATTAGCTCCGTACTCAAAAGCTGCCCGCACGGCTGCCCTTGCCCTGCCAAACACATCGACCTCTCCTCCTCTGGAGCTGACGCACAGGAGGATGTCTTCAGGCGGTCTGCAGCGCTGGATTCTTTCAGCTCTCGTGAGCACAACCAGTTGCCTTTCGACTCACTTGGGTGATCTCTTGGTTTTGGTTTGTTCTTAGGGAAAATGATGGTGAATCACCAAACCTCTCCTTCCAGGGAGGGAAACCTCGCATCTAAGAGGAGACTTAACATCTAAGGGCGAGAAGGACAACCAAGCCCAGTTGTGGTGCTCAGAGCTGCCTGACTCATTACACATCAGCAGGGGGGTTGGTTTGCTTTCTTTTTGTTTTGTTTTTCTTAAATACAGGTCTGTGTTTATACAGGGGAAAAAAAAAAAAAAAAGATCAAATCACATCTGCAACATGCTCAGAGCTGCTCCTCCACGTGTCCACAGGGTTTCGACACGATAGTTGGAGGCAGGAGACACCTCTGCTTCAGACACCCCACCTCCCCGCAGCGGTGGTGAGCAAGCTGCCAGCACAGAGGAAACCTTGGGGCCGAGGCCACAAAAACCCCCTCAGCTGTGCCTCTACGGGGTTGCCACGAGAGAAACCCCCAAGCCCCGGCACGGCACAGGCTTGCCTGCCTGCTGGCTTACTCCATCACGAACGGGCAGAAGACAACACAAGCATCTTTTCCAGTTTTCTGTGGAAGCTTTTTGGTAGACAGATAACAAAACTGCTGAACTCAGATGGCACACATTGACTTGGATAAGTCAGGCTTCTTGTATGTTAAACAAAGGTATTTTAGACTAATAAAAACAACTCCTAGGAATGTGTCGGTTCCAGTTAATGCATCTGGCAGATTCTTTCAGTTCAAAAGCCATAGCTTAATTTGTTATCTGTGTATACAGATAACAGAAATGCAAGTGACATTTAATCACACTTGATAAGCCTGTAAGTGATTACCATGACACACTCTAAGGTATAGTTTCTGTAAAGATCCAGCCACGATGACACATGGGATATGCCAGGCAGGCTGCTCACGGCCCTGCAGCAGTGCGGACAGCTTCTCAGGACCAAGGAGGGTTTCAAGCCCCTGTGCTAATACCCCAGCAAGGCAGCTCTCCCACACAGGTGCTTGTGCAAGAGACAGAGCAGCTGGACAAGTATTTTGTTTACGCAAGAGAGCTGCCTATATACTTAAATTAAACTGTGGGCAGGGGGGGAATGAGGGGAAACTATTCTTAAAGTTTCACAACCCCGATGTTATAGATGCAAACAAAGCCACACAACTGGCCAAGCTCAAGCCCATGGTGGTGGGTCTGTGCTGATCCAAACCTGCCTGTATTTGCTGTGCAGGCTTAAAAAGAACTCTGACCATTATCAACCAATTGAGACATCGCCAGACTGAGTGCGAGCGGCTGCTGACACCGAACACACTGAAAAGAAGAACATCAGCAGTGCCTGCCTGGTTTCCCCAGCCCCTGCGAGCAGCTGTCCAGGGTGAGCAGAGGCTGCGTCCCACTGGCCAGCACCCACAGCGATAAGCCGGGGATGTGGGGTGGCGACAACGACAGGACAACCCTGCCCCAGCCCTTTAGTGCCCATGAGCATCTGGACCTGCCTCCACCACCTCTGGGGCTGCAAGCTCCAGAAGCTCCTGACCTGCTCTGTACAGGAGCACCTTCTTTTAACCCTTCTGCACCTATTTTCTGCTATTTCAGCAACTGCCTCTCAGTTCTACCACCAAAAGACATGGCAAGGTACAAGGGTGATCCCGCTGGATCATATTCCCTCCCTGCAGGGTCTCAGCCTGCCCACCCTCACTTGCAAGACAGCTGCTCCAGCCCCTTGGCCATTTCCATGGTGTTTCCTGTTCCCTCTCCAGTCTCCCCCATGAAGATGAAGGCCAGAACGGCACACATTATTCAGACAGGGTACATCAAGATCGTGAATGATGCCACATGGAGGTCCTTGGCGTCACTCTGATACCCCCCTCCTGAGGCCCACCATCTTGTTCATTCCCGAGCTGTCCTGGCACTGAACCAGCCGCATCAGGAATGGCCAACGGCAGCTCCAGCATCTTGCTCCTGGGCTGTAACTGCCAGTTTTCTCCATTACTTCATTTTGATGACTAGGCTAAAAAACCCTACCTTATTAGGACAGTTGGGGAAAACCCCCAAGCATTATGGCTCAAACTGGTTTAGATTAGCAAGTCTTAGCAGTTCTGAAGTCACAGATTTGTTGTTTTTAGCTGAAGACTAATCTGCAAGAGTGGAGTAGTTAACACCGCACTCCTATTAGCACAAAACTCTACCAAACTGCAAAGTTAAGTTAAACAGGCAGATAAAAGCCACAGTCACAGGGAGGTTCCTGCTTTTGGCCAGCAAGAAATATTCAAAATAAAGGTTTTGCTTAATGTGTGTGTTTGTAGCTGGTCACAAAATCTTCTCGAAGAAAGAGCAGCTAGAAATACAGAGCATTAAAGAGTCAAAGAGGGTGACGTGGTTTAAATAGCTGATTTAAATCCTGGTGGAAAGCGAGAGCTTTAAACTACTTGAAGTCAGTCTACCTTAAGCTGAACACAGACACGAGCCAGCAGAAGCAAAGCTGGTGGTGAGAACTGCCGAAGTGGCTCTGCTCACCCCTAGGCTGGGGACAAGGCACAGCCTGGACTGAAAGTGGAGCAAGCTCCTGGCACAAGTCCCTAAGGGATTCCTCCTGGGAGGGGACACGGAGAGGGAAGCAGATTGGGGAGGAGGAGGGAGGTCATCTGACATCTCAACAGAATAAGAACTACTCATTGCACCAGCCACGCTACCACGTCTTCTGTATTAAAGAGCTCTGCACACTGGCAGGGATTTTGCCTTCCAAAACCAAGATTTGCTGCCAGCCAACACCCATCTCCAACAATCCCCTCTGACCAAGCCACCGCCGAGCCAGCACCACGCCGTACTGCTGCACTGGCTGTTAACAGCCTCCCCACCACACGGAGCACAAAGAGCTTCCTTGCTTTGACGCAGTGAAAGCAGTTCAGTCAGTGATTTCGAGCCTCAGCTAAGCCAACGGCGACAACTCCAAATTCAAATTAACACAAAGGCTTGGCAGCCACACACTGGAAGTTTTCCAGGGAGGTGAGGGATTCCCCAGCTGTGCGTGGCCCTATTAAGCAGGTTGGAGGAAAAGGAAGCTCCAGGCCTTTTCTCTTTATCCTTATGGATGCTCCACGTCTCCACCACACAGCAGATGGATTCGGCAGAACAAAATATCCACTGTTCTTGTTTTAAGCATTGATCTCTGAAGGGAGTGAGGGCTGTGCTGGCCCACTGACACCCTCCTTGTAACCCCTGAGCCTGCCAGAAGTTTTCTTTCATATTCTGGCAGAGACTGGGGCTGAATCAGCTTCCAAAAAGAAATTCTTTTGAGGGGTGAAACGAGGGTGGGAGATTTCTAGTGGCCACGGCAGTCAGGCACCCCACAAAGAAAAGCCAGCAGAGCTCAGCTCTTACAGTCGTATGCTATCTCACACAGATGACGCTTCCAGACCAGCCACAACCAGGGCCAGGTCTTGCCCTCCACACCACATAAGCTAGTTATTTGATGATACCATAGTGAGAATAAGTCATCAACATTTCAGTACTGCTTTACTCTACACAGACTCTGGAAGCAAATCCAAAGGAGACAAAGAGAAGTCAGGTCTGTCATGTTCCTGATAAATAGCCCCAAACACTCGAGGCAGGCCAGCAAGCAGGCTGCAGCTCCCACCGAGAACTGTGCACCTGCAGTCTCACACATGCTGCGATAAGCCAAGACAGATGCTTTTGCCTTGAAGTTGCTCCCTGCTTTCCTTGGAAAGGATTAGACATGTGGTCCTCAGCCTTCTGAGTAACAGGACAAGCTCCAAGGTTAAGTCATGTGAAACTGAGCAAGAGTGAAGATCTGGTCTGCTTAACAGATGACTTCTACTTTCAGTCCCCCAAAGGGACCAACCACATGGATTATGTGCAAAAAGAACCTAGAGAGATATTAGAGATGCAGAGAACCCAGGGAGCTGTTAGAAAGACACCCAGAGACCTGTCCAGATAAGGAAGGACATGTCGGA